ACGGTGCTGATTTAACACTGTTTGCAATGGGACTTGAATTAGTGGACTGGACCCTTCAGCTTTCTACGCGCGGGAACCTGCACGAGGCCATTGTACATTTTGTCCATTCTCCAGTACATGGTAAAGATCGCGTGCCGTGACCGTCTTCACCTATGTTCATGTCATTTACGTGGGAAGCAGGGGACCGCTCCCTTCCGGAGCCCGAGAAAAATTAAACAAATTAAAGGGGAGTCACTGTGGGCGGAGAAAAGGAAAGCGATGAAAATGGAGGAAACGACAACCATTAATTTGCTTGAGCCCAACAACATTTTTCTTCACAGCAGTGTTTGATGTGGACACGCACCGATTTTATACAATGACATAACGTGTATTCAAGAAGGCAACAGAGGCCTGTGAAGCATTTTGATGTCCATCTATCTGTAGAGGAATGTTCAATGCATAGCTGCGATTGATATTTCAACAGATTTTTGATTCTGTGAAATTTCAGAATCACCGACAGTAGTATAGTCAGGCTGACACTTACCTCAATAATGTCATAGCGAATTGTTTCCTCTGAATCATCATCGCTCGCACTGACTGTAAAGATGACATCATTCGATGTCATGGATCCCTTTAAAACAAATTTTAAAAGAAAAGAACGTGATAAATCTTGTTTTCGAATGTTATTTCATGTAGCCTATTATTTGAAACATAACATTCATCCATTTGGCCTAATTGTGAAATTACCAATAGTTGATATTTCGCTACACAAAAATTTAATGATCGCATACAATGTAGTACACTAACAGACTCTTATTTTCAGTTTGGGCAAAAATCAAACAATTATATTATTACATATCTTAAGATGTTCTTCATAGAAGATGGATTTTAAATCCAAACTACTTATCGGAAGCAAATGGTATGTTTTTGGTGATGTACATGTAGCCTGCTATGGTAGTGTTGGAATAATATGAGTTTTCTGGATGTGAACTCGTGCTCAGAACAGCCTATGTACAGTACAGTCTACAGTTTCAGTACAGTATACTCTTTTGGAAAATAAAAATGGGTTGTTTGTCTGAATTTTAAAAAATCACGGTGAAGCTATCTGCAACTTGGAAAGAGGTTGCAGCATTCCAAAGGAACTAAACACGGCATTATACTATGACATCTAATTATCAAGCTTTTCTGACCACCTGCCGCTGCGTGAAGACAGGTGGCTGCAGATGTAATTGGCAGGCGTAGCAAAGAACGAACAGATGCAGGCCATACGAGCTTACGATTTATTTACCTCTTTGACGGCTTCCTGTAGCTGATATCTTTCCGATGTGAATTTTGGATCATTGTCATTGACGTCTTTCACGAATACAGATACCGATTTCAAGGTCTAAAAGCATACGAAGAAGGGTAAACGCGGAAAACAAAAAAGCCATCTCAATTGTAGTTCTTACCATGGGCGGAGAGGGGATATTTAGGTGTTTTAATTTCTGGTCAGAACGTGTATCATATAAAGGCTTTGCTCTGTGCCACGTATCGCAACAGATGACCAAACCTCTTAAAAGTTATCATTGCGTTAAAAACGGTAATGTTAAAGAAGCGAAGAAAAATTGGCGAGGAAAAGGTGGCATGATCTTCACAATCTTGCTGTTTTAGAAAAACGGTTTCTCCGACCAGCTTTCGTCTGGATTAAATTAAAGCATTTTTACTTTAAAAAAATTGTCATTCTCTTTTCCTTTGTTCCTTTTCAGTTTGTAAAAATAATTTTAACTGGACTGGTAATTAGAACTGTATTAATACGTGAAATTAGAATTTTCATATCAACTTTTGGCCGCCTGTTGCACGTATGTTTATTTTAGTTTTAATAACTAAACTTCCCTTGTTAAAACTCCCACATTTGTAATGAATAGGCATTATTTTGTATTACATCTTGGTATAACTTCGATGATGAGCTGCCAACGACAAGTGACAAACTCTTAGCCTTAAGGTTTAATTAGTAGAACTACTCAACCAGGACAAAATTTGCTAAACAAAGAAAATTATCAACTACACGAGGAGAGTTCTGTTCCATCACTGATATTTGCTTCGGCAAGAAAACTGGCCGACAATATTTTCTAACAAACTTTAGCCTCATGACATGAGGCCTTGATCGAAAATGAAACAAGAACTGAAATGAAATAAAAAATAAAATTGAAGTCCTCAGTGCAAAAGGTTCCCTACCTCTTCACTGGTACTATCTGTCAGTTTCCATCTAATCCATAAAAGATGCACAGCCTGAAAAATACAAACGCACGGTTAACTTTTCAAATAATTTTAGCATTTTACCATTCAAGTAGACTTTTATTTGTCCTCTTGGTCATATTGAAAGTGTGAAATATCAAATGGATATTGGGAAATCCCATTACTAACTTTTGCTCATCTCAACCGCCAAGTAGGTCCGTATTCTATTTCATATTAGGCGTGTTATAATGGGGTATACCAGTACTTTTAAAGAATGGCGTACCTCATAATCAATTTCGGCTTTTGTCGATACGTTTCCTGTTGTTCGATCAACATTGATGTAACCGAAACCATCTTCTTCGTATGGATTCGTATCCGCAGTGTATGAAACAATGTCGTAACTGACTGCCGTACCATCAGGGTCAAAAGCCTCTAGAGTATAGAGTAATTTATTCACTGCAAAGGGAAAGGCAAGTAAAAGTATTTTTTTTCATAAAAACGGACCACTGCATATTTTTATTTGCATTGAAGGCAGAACTCAAAAAAGAACACCCCAAAAGGAATAACGTACATGAATACGTGAATCTGAGAAGACGCTATATAGTGAGGCACTTTCAGATACTTGGTGACAGCAAAAACATGTGACCCCAAATGGCCAGTTGCCCTACCCCTTCACTGCCACAATCAAGTGTCTCATGAATCTCCTATTAGTGGTTGCACCATGCTCATGTGCGCGGTCGTGGTCCGGACAACTCGACCGTTTACTAACTCGACGTCGGACTACCCGACCGTTAAGACAACTGTACCGTAAAGACAACTCGACTGACCATGCGTAAAAAGGAGACAAGTCGACCTTGAAACAAGCCGTCCATTGAGATAAGTTGTCTGCTCAGCCAAGTCGTCTGCTGAGACGACCGTGTGAAATACTATATCTTAATAATGGGATGAAATTTCACGTAGTAGATAGACAAGCCAAATTTCTGAGGTACATGTATTATAAAAATGGCGCTGGCAGTAAGTTAATCTTTGCGCGATCGATCTATCGATATCTTGCACCTGCGCTGATCTACCGACTTAGGCCTAGTTCCAAATTTTTCCTAGTTCCGGATGAAAACATACCTTCTTTATGCTGTTCTTTAGTTTTCCATTCTCAGACAAGTTCTGTTTAAAAGATGAAATGCAAGCTTCTTCTTATACAAACTTGTTCTCGGAAAATTTCTAGAAAAGAAATTTGGTCGATTTCCGATTCGCACTTCGAAATTTTTGAACAGTTTATCAAAAATCATTGAAGCGAAATAAATCGACAAGTATTTACAGGGCGATATGTCACTCCCTTCGTGTGATCCCAAATCCTTTTTTCCATACTCAAAATTCACTTTCGCATCTAATGTCTGTTTAATCGGAATGATTTTTAAAATTCCGTCCGTCACTTTCTTTGATCCTGTACGTTAGAAAATTCGCAAATATTTTTTTAGTAACCCAAACGCACAAGGGGAACTTTTAACCGGAATTAGATCATTTTATCGGAATTTGGGGATTATTTGAAGCTGCAATCTGACTGAATAATTTTTGCGATCCGACACTGAGAAAACGGCTGTATTGTGTGTACATCTCACGGGTCGAGTTGCCTCTCTGTCAAAATCGAGTTGTCTTAACGGAAGACTTGGCAAACGGTCGAGTTGTCCGACATCCAAAAAATGACGTAGCCAAAAGTGAAAAAGTGAAACTGAAAAAATCATAAAATTGACTTTCAAAAAAAGACACATGGCCAACTTTTTTTCTGGCCGGTCTGCGCTGTTTATCTTCAATTTTATTTTCTATGGGCGATTAGTAGAACTTTAGCTACGCGTGTACTTAGCACCTGTCCACGAGCGGCGTTGTGTTAGGGCACAAATGGGTTCTGTTTCCAAGGCGTGTTTCCAAATCATATTTTAACATCGTACCCATGCATGGACATAAAAGAAGCTGAGTTGAGTTTGCATAGGTTTCACTGCAGAAACCCTTCTTACTCAACGTTTCAGCGAACGTTCAAGCAAGATGTGAGTCTCAAGTTAATGACATGTTAATGATAATCCAACCATGATGTATTATTAATTAACCAAAAAATCACCTTCAGTTGTTTCCTCTATCTGAAATTTGTTCATATCGCGATACTCATAAGTGCCATCGCAATTGGGACCAATACCGTCAAAATCGTCTTGACATCGGAACTCCGGTGGACGGGTAGTCACTGCAAAGGGAAAGATATGCAGAACACCAAGTCCAGGACTCAAAGTATAAGTAATTCCCATTAAGATTTAGTAAGGTCTAAGTATCAGTTATACTGTTCTAAATGAAATAAATAAAGCTGTCACATTGATACAAATGTATTCAAGATGCAAGTATCAATTTGATTACTCTACGGATAGGCCTAATGAAAAATAATAGATATTTTACAGGGAAAAACAATGAGGTAAATAAATAATGTTGACAACTATGTAGGAGGGAGCCACATTTAAGGAAATGGGTGGAGTGATATAAAGTAATGAGAAAACACTGAAATCTCTGATACTTTCTCTTGCATTCTATTTAAGGCAATTTGAGAATAAGGATATTTTTAACATGAACAATCAACGATTAGTACTGTCGTATTTTGCTCTATACTCATGTACTGTGTCATTATGTGGCATAAACATCCATAACCCCTCTGGCACTAACATAACATTTCTAACAATACAACTGGAGAGTATTTGATACGAAGAGAAAGTGTGTGCATATCATGGAAAAGAAATCATTCCACATCATACTCATTTATTTATCCTCAGCCTATGCAGGTATTTATTAAAACTTACCAAGCTGTGTAAGTTGCACTAGTACAAAGAACTGTGCCCACCACATACGCGTCATATTCTCACTACAGAAATTAGAAAATGTCTAACATTCAATGTATACTTCATAGTCGACCGGTCGATAACAGTAAGAAAAATGTTTATGCAGGAACTGACGCCATTATCCCATTCAAACGGAAGCAATGTAAGAACAAATAACAGGCATGAAGGGGTTTAATGGCATGCATAATTAGGCATGTTGTTTTTAATATCACGTAACTTCATTATTTCCCCCATTTGAATGAACCGCAGAAAACATTCGGTACTGCTGAGCAAAAAGGAGCATATCGATACAGCTGAATTGTTACAGTTAATGAACACATTTTGGGGCTGTGATCCTTCAATTTTGTTTGTTCACTCTAAAGATGGAATGCTGATACAGTCACCGCGATGGCGGCGTAACGAGGGGGGCAGGAGGCCGGGTACGTTCCTATCCCCGCTCAAGGCTTGATGAACCCCCGTGTGCACCCCCAGGTATTATAGAAGATATAACTATATTCCGCTTTTGTAAATGTTTTAATTGTGACTGAAACCACTGAGTGCCTCTTCCGGAAAACGAGAGCCTACAAATGATCCCTGTAAAATGTCTCCCAGCTTCACCACTCCAACGTAATACATGCATATGGAATGTTGTGGTAATATTTGCCCATTTTTGGTATATAATTATCATACCAAAATGGGCGAGTATTGCTGAAAAGAAAGAGCAAGAAGTCCTCGGACATCTTGCATGTGCATAAAAAGACTAAAATAGAGTTACCTTATAGACGGACATGGTACTTACGTATATGAAGACAGCAATATTACTTCTCCCGCTCTGCTATGGAGTAGAACTAATCCTTTCGCAAGCAATTAATAAATCCAGGATGTGTTCACTATGATAAGAAATGTATACGCACTGTAATAACAGTCAGCAAAACCTGTGAAGTCATATGAATTTTGACGTACAAAAATCTGACGATTGCATATTTTTGCAGAAACTACTTGACGTTATCCGGTAGGGTCCAAGGGCCAATGAAACTGCTATGAAACTGAAGTATAACACACCCAATCGTACAAACCGTACTTTGACCGTTTGATTATCAGTGCTGGGTACCGACTGTTCGTTTCTCGTCGCCCGTAGAATGTTATCATAAAGCCGTATTAGTTGCAGGATATTATTCAGTTCGTTGTATTCAGTTTCTCAACGCAACCGTACGCGTGATGTGAGTAGCGAGTACCAGTTTTAGACAATGCCATTGTGTACAATGCGGGCAGTGTTAATCAGTAACCGAAATGCAAATAGTGCTGCCTCAATACTTCAAGGGGTTGTCTGGCACGCGAGTTGTGAGTAAAAAGGGAAGGACTTGGAATATCTGAATTGTATGAAACTGCATTTGTTATTCCTTTCTTTGAAAGTAAAAACAAATGTGAAATTATGCACAATTCACAAGTTAGAACACTACAGATCAAACGTTTGAAATGCCACCGTAACACATCAGATTTCCACCATTCTATAAATATTTAAACACGTTTGCACGTAGCATCACCATAAAAGGACGTTTTTTTTTTTGGTGTACATCTTTTTGGATCAGGCTATTCCTTGTAATCTCGTAATTCTCTCGAAATGTTGGTTTTATTGTGAAAAGCACGCCACCAACTGCGCCTATAAAAGAAATTCGCATATGGTAGTTTTGTCTGCTGCTCCGAAACACTATGAAGTATTGTGGGTAGCTTTCATACACACACTGAATTATTTATAACCATCGTTAAACAAAATAGTTCTATTCGGAGGAAAATTACGTTGTGCTTCCCCGTTGATGGCGCCAAGCACAAAATGAAGGTACTTAACAGGTCTTACTGAGAATCCATTTGTTGCAGTTACATCTGTAGGCCTACAACGTGTATGCCACCAACAGATTAATATACGGTGTGGTTATGAGCAAAGTGTCGGCAGAGGAGGCTTATTTGGTTTAGGCATATACTTTTTCACCTTTCTCACATATCTTCCGTCATAGCAATCATCTAATTAACCTAAAGGTTTTCCTTCCCAATTTTCCTGGCCTTAACCAATAATCCTCTTCTTTCCTCGAGGGCGCTGCTTTCAAGGGGTAAAACTAAACCGATCTTATTCTTTGAACATTGAATGTGCAAAATGTACATTGAATCTTTACAATGTACTAAAACTAAAACACCTGTTAATTTTTTTGTCAGTGTCATAGGCAGAACCTTGTAAATAATCGCTATAAGAAATAAATGAATCATGTTCTGAGCTGTAGACAGCAGGAATCAGATGATGGATGACAGCAATCGTGACAAGTTTGCGAATATGATACAAACGAAGTACTGCTTTAAGAGAACTCTGGTATACAAGACTCTAAACAGTGTTTTAATGTTTCCGCATTCTTGTACATGTATGTAGTAAGAGCCTAGAGGGCGCTTTCAAACAGATCACTGCTAATGTTTCCACTTTTTGGACCCAATTCCACTAATTCCACTTGTTCCTCAAAAAAGAGATGTTCGTACAGGTATATAACAACAGAGTGGATTCGAACCTCGAAAGGAGAATTAGGTCTGTAGTATTCAGTACTCAGAGAATGTGAATCATGTTTGCTTATTGTAAAGAATGACAGCATTGAAATAAATGTTTCATCTTACAACCAATAACCACTAGCACTCTTTGAAGCCTTGGAATGTAGTCCTTACTCGACAAGCGTTGCTTTTTAGGGACTATCCTCCACCCTAGGCCTTATGTGGAAAATAAAGTGAACCTACATATGAAATATGAATAATGCATAACCACAGGGCGCCGTTTTTCGAAACTAATGGAGCCAGTTTTTTTTTTTTTTTGAAACAACGTTCGACCAAGCCGCGTGCCACCGTTTTCGCGTAAACATTATTTTGTCGTCGTCGTCAGAGGGCGCAGTTTAATGTATCAAGCGTAATAAAATGGCGGCGAGCAAAAGCACGAACACGTACAATCGTCAAAATTGGGAGGAAGCAGTAAGCGTTATTTTCAGTAGTTATGCCATATTCATGGTAGTAATCAGCAGTAGCTATGTTAACATTTATCTATTTTGGCACAGTCTGTAGCATTTGTTTATGTAATGTTGATGATTTGCGTACGGTAGCCTACGCCATGCGATGGCATAAGCCGTGCCATGCATGCATGGATGGGTGATTTTGCACGTTAGAAAGGCATCGTGGGAAAGAACATCACCCGTGTAATATATATAGCCTATAGGGCTAGGCCCTAAGGCTTCATGTACATGCTATCGATCATGATCATGCCTAGTCAGCTAGCACTCGACATGCTCAAAGACTACAAAGTTCATTCGCACGTTTTAGCGAAGCATGACCAGTGTGACGGCCCATTACTAACGTCACAGCTGTAAATATCTTCCCTCGCTTGACACTAGGTCTTTTGTTGGATCACCAAGTTCTAAAAATATAAAATTTTAATAACAACTCTCCTCAGTCAGATTTGTTTTGGCAAGCTGACATGGCTGAATTGTGAATGGACAGGATGGAATTCTGTTTAAACATGTCAGATAAAAAGGAGGAGTAATTGCAGAATACCCCACCACTCTGAAAATGACCCCTGGAATGACTGGTTACTCGGGTACAAGGTTAAAATGAAAACTTAACTCAATTACCACCGACATGACTGATGGGATGAAGTGGACATGGGGAAGTTTGTCATGTTTGTGGCAAGTAGGGATGTGGCGGCAGGATCCAGAATTAACTTTTGTCAAGAAAAAAGTTGGAGTCCAAAGTAAACAGTTTCCTTCTTATTCCTCCATCATGTCTATGGTTTAGCAGTCATATCGGTAATTCTGAAAGGTCTCAGATTGTATCCAGAGTACTACAACTTCAAAATCCTGGCTCCTACATGTGCAAAATGTTAGCAGTAGAAACCTCAGGCATGTCAGGTACCAGTTCTCTAGTGTCAGGTTGCTGTAAGTATCTTGGAGGACTCCAACCTAACATGAGAAGTAAACCAACACTATCACTGTCTTTTGGGTGAATGGCATATAATCATCTTAATCTTATCCTGCTTATTGTCTGAAACATGAGATCTAGAGCAAGGAATGTTGTGGCTTCGTTGATGTTGCAAAGCTGTGAGATGAACCTAATAAATATCTGCTCCGAGCAGGAACAAAAAAGGGCCTGTTTTGAAATGAAATTGATGGTATGCACTTACCGCATGGGGGTACAAGCTTATGCGCGCTGAGTATGTACAATGAATTTAGTCTGGAATATATGGCCTTCGTATGCAAGCCAAACAAGTGCAAGAACCCGGTTGGAAAACGTAGTTTCGTCTGTTTTTCTCTCGCTGGTGACGGTGCACTTCAGCTCAGGGTGGACTGTACAAGTAAAATGCAGTTGTCAAATGTTTGATTTGATTATTAAATCTTTCATCAAATCTGTTTCCCCATCTATGATAGGACTTCCCGATTCTATGCCAGACATGCCTAGGAGATAACCCCTACATTCGCATGGTAAGACATTTTCTGATGCATTTATTTTAACTATTCTGAATCCAACAAGCATATATGCATGATTTCATTGGTCCCTAGGGACTTAGGGTAACCAAATAGCTGTAAAGTTTATTGCATGTAGTACATGTAAATAGATGACATGATAGTTTAATAAAAGCAAACTATCCCTCTGCATGTGGATGCATTGACTTGTGCCCACTTTCTCCTGTGTGTATGATGTCTGTAGTGTGAACAATAACCCCCTTTTGAGCAGATATGTACTCCATGGAATAGTTCATTGTGGTACTCATGAATCCATTGCACTATGGCAGTTACAATCCAAGTGTGTCATGGATAGTGTACTTTCTTACTCTTTGTTGCCATTTTGCTTGGAGCCTTTCTGCACAAAAACTGTGCAATAAAACTAACCACAGATGCTTTGCACTGAACCAAATCAACATGTCACATCTTGAAGAAAGTTGAACTTGTGGGGTTGTACTTTCACCTCTTCAATATACTTGAAATACAGGCTTCAAATTCAGAGAGGTTGATGAATTCATTCAAGTACTGTCTGCCCGTGCTGCTTAATACTTCTTTTGTTTTGTGACTTTTGTTAGACCAAAGAAAAGTTTGGCCGTGAATGCAAGATTTGTGATCGACCTTTCACCATCTTCCGCTGGTGTCCTGGTGCTCGTATGCGATTCAAGAAGACAGAAATTTGCCAGACATGCAGTAAGATCAAGAATGTCTGCCAAACATGTTTACTGGATCTTGAATATGGTAAGGTTTCAATGACGCCCTTACTAGACTAGAACCAACATTGTACTTCACACATAAAGAAACTCAATAAATCCTTAGGTGCTATCGGTTAACCTGCGATCCTCAGCTCTTGATATGAATTAGTTGTCACTTCAGCTAACCATAGTCTGTTGCCATAATGCTTGAAGTGGATTTTTTTCCTATTTGAACTACCTATAAATTACACACGTTCAAATTTTATCTTTGATTGCAGGACTTCCCATTCAAGTCAGAGATGCTGCATTGAACATCAAAGATGAAATGCCTAAGTCAGAAGTAAACAAGGAGTACTACTCACAGAATATCGAGAGACAGGTACATGTACAAGCCATCCAAGTTATTTACATTTAGCCAGGCAGTAACCTGTCAAGAAATTTCCAAAGTAACAAAATGCACGAGGGAGTGCATTGGTGATTTTCCCGATGTATACAATGACAGCAGTGCTTTCCGCTACATGGCATCTAAACTTGGTATCTTCATACAAGCATTGGAACACTTGGTCCTCATAGAACTCACAGTTGATCATCTTACTTGGGTTGTACTCACTGCCTTGCTCATTTAGCTGATGGCTAATATTTTTCATAAAATGGTGAGAAGAAACTGCGCAACATTATGGGTAGCCAAGTATTGAGATGAAAGCTTACACATGCAGTGCATACATCATTAGTCACACCATAGAGTTATTTCATGCTCATGTACATGTATTACTTCCCAGTGCAGCTTTTGACATGGAAGTGGTGGCCTTGGGTGACTGGTTAAAGTCTACTTAAGGAGAGCTCAAAGGAATATAGCTGTCACTAGTACCCATTAAGAAGGCCAAAATGAACTCCAAACAATGCATAATGGTGATTTGGAATAAGAGCTCTAGGTGGAGGACTGGAACACAACTCTGTCTTGAAGAACAGTTGTACAGGGTCTTATTTTTCTCCTTCCTAGATTGCCAATATTGACGGGGTGCAAGCAGCGGGTGCAGTTGGCAAGGCACAAGCCCCTAGTGATCTTCTCATGAAGCTGGCTAGAACTACTCCCTACTACAAACGCAACAGACCCCACATCTGTTCTTTCTGGGTCAAAGGTGAATGCCGACGAGGAGAAGAGTGTCCATACAGGTATACTAATTACATCTTCATTCCATAAATTTCTGACCCCATAGCCTTGTCTTTGTCCCTGTGTAATCCAATGTGAGCCAACAGTATTGGCTTCATTTCAGTGTAGATGTCTTACTTGGAAACATAGCAGTGAGTGTGGTAATAAATCTTATTTCAAATGTAGAATGATGGTACAAGTGAATCACGTGAAAAACCATGTCAGATCTTGTTTTTCCATATCTTTGTTAGACATGAGAGACCAACAGATCCAGATGATCCACTAGCAGATCAGAACATCAAAGATCGTTTCTATGGCACAAATGATCCTGTTGCTGAGAAGTTAATGCGGCGCGCTGATACCATGCCCAAGCTAGAACCTCCTGATGACAAGACGGTGACTACACTTTATGTGGGTGGCCTAGGGGATAAAGTCACAGAAGAAAATCTAAGGTAAAGCCATCATTGATGATAGAGCATACAAAGACAAAGAATTTGTTAGTGCATGACTTGTTTTTGTGAATCAGAAGCTTGTTATCCGCTTTGAGCGGGAACAAAAGCATGCTGAGTATGCGCAACAAATTTACTCTAGAATGTCAGGTTTTTGTGTGCACGCTGAACACGTGCAGGAACCGGCTTGTAAACCTTGGTAGCAGTCTCTTTCTTTTGCCGGTGAGGGTACACTTTGACGCAGGGCAGATTACACGAACATGTGGCTGTAAATAACATTGCATCTCAGTATCTTTTTTCAGATGTTCCATGAGATTGCAATGTACAGGAGTGCTGTAGAATGTGTAGTGAGAGCAAGTGATTTATATTCCATTGGTATTCAGGTAGAGTTATTCAAGTGAATTTTTATTTCATTGTTTTTTTCTGTTTAGGAATCACTTTTATCAGTTTGGAGAGATTCGGTCTATTAATGTTGTCCAGAAGCAGCAGTGCGCCTTTGTAACATTCACAACTCGCACTGCTGCTGAACAGGCTGCTGAAAAATCCTTCCAGAAACTGATTCTGAAAGGTCGGAGGTTAAATGTCAAGTGGGGGAAGTCCCAAGGTCAGCAAGGTGTTGCTGTCAAGAACATAGAAGGGGGCAAAGAGCCACAGTATGAACCAGTGCCTGGATTACCAGGGGGTGAGTACAAACCAGGGCAGTGCAGTGCAATCAAGTTTTAAAGAGCCATCTTTTGCTGGATTCTCTGTTTTTTTAGAACACAAGGGCAAAGAGACGGTTGTTTCATGCATAGTCTGATCCCCTTCATTCAGTTTCTACTCTGGCGTAAAATAATGGAATTCCTACTACATCTGTGGGAAAAATGAGTGATTGGATGCCACCCCAAGAATATAAAAATTTAGTAGCATTTTCAGCACATGTATATTCATTGGGGTCAAAGTCATGCATAAATGACAGATTGTTGAAATGTTGGAAATGGTTCTAACAAGCACTGGGAATGTGCAGGTAGAGAAGTTTGTTTTCCCTCAAGAAATTAACTGTAATAATCAACTACAGTGTAATAAGTACAGAGAGCAACAAACATTGTGTAATAGATCCTTTGGACAAGAGGGTACCACATATTGCCAGTGATTTGGCATGTAACACGTGTATAGTCTAAATCTTCACGTCATGCTGTGTTTGCAGCTCTGCCAATGCCACCCATGCCAGCTGACGGATCACAACCAAGTAATTTCTTCAATCTTGACCAGGATGATTCCCAGCTACCCCCATTGCCAGGAGGCCCTGTAGGACCCATGGGTCCCCTAGGGGGTCCCCCTGGGAGATTAACAAGGGGTCCACCACCTCGTATGATGCATCATCAACAGCCACCACCACCAGGAGGTAGGTACAAGTGTAGTGGCACCTGTACCCCCAGTCAGCTGAACACATGCTCTACAAAGTGACAAATGTTGAATTATGGTCATGAAAACCTACCTGTGAATGAAATCCCGTAGCATGCCAAGGAAATTTAAGGAACATGTTTTCAATCAAGAAGTCCCCGCTGAAAATTCACTCCATGGATTTTAAAAAGAGGTATCATCATCTATGTTAGATGCTGTGGACCGGAATTCTTCAACGTGTTGGAATTTATAAATCTTGAGAAAATGCAGTTTTATTTTTTGACCAGTGAAAACATGCCCGGTGATACAGAATTCATCACTAGCTCAATTCCAAATCCCTTAAATCAGAATTTTATGTGTAGATGTATGGGAAGGGCAGAAGGATGATAGTAGAAATTTCTGTCATAAATTGAAATTCATTCCATGCTTTGCTCTTTTTTTGCAGCTTTTGATTTCCCTCCCCCAGGCTTCCCTGCACTACCTGGTTACCGTGGTCCACCTCCATTCCATCCTGGAGCGCGTCCCCCACCTCCAGGGGTAAGGCCACCACCCCCGGGGGTCAGACCTCCTCCCCCTGGGATCAGACCACCAATGGGACTGCCTCCCCCTGGGCAAGCTGTTCATTACCCATCACAAGACCCTCAGCGGATGGGCACAGGAACCACCCAAGAGTAGGTGTTAACAATCAGTACCAGATCGGGGCAAGTTGTTGATCTTGTAGAAATGAACACGTACAGCACTGAATTCCAAGAGACGGTTAGCTTTTCAACATTTTTTCTGTGCATGCTGAAAGCTTGGAATGTCACTGAAAGGCAGTGCTGTGGTTCAGGTTTTTTGGCAAGTCACGTGTACTTAAAGTGTGCATATTTTCATATCTATAGACTAATCCGATAAGACGCCCTAAATGTGGTGGCAGTGCACTCACGCACATTTTTCAGCTTGACACGTGTGTGCGTTCGGCAAATCACAACACCCTGTTGGTCGAAGAGGCATATAACCCGCGCTTACCGCCTGTCCACGAGTGTTGTGCTACCGCAGTAATGGCTTCTAATTCTGGCGGTCGAATTACACTATAAAAGTCAGTAACAAAATTCCTCACACCGGTTCATCCTGATGTCACTAAAGTCAAACTTGTATTTACTGATATGCAGTTACACTTAAACACGTAATTGTATTGGAGGTAAAATTACTTTTTAAGAGTTTTTGTCAGTAGTTTGCCCTGTGTTTTTTGTAGTTGTAATCAGTTTTAAAAATCGTTTTGGATTTGGGAATAATTAATTTTGAAAAAGAACAGATTCATGTGTATGGACCCTGTTTTAAAACGCTGTCCAATGCCACAAAAAATGGCAGTGGCGGGACTGAGGACAGTGTAACAACCATCAAGTAACTACTGACTGGAACTGAAGTATTTGGAATTACATGTAGCTTCACGTTTTATTTAATCAGTGGACAAAGTAAATTGAACAGCTGTCCCATGCCGTGTTTATGTAATTTTAAAATCCTTTGTTAGTTTACAAGCATGGAATACCACTTTATGTCACTTGTCTAAATTCACAGTAACTGATTGATTTACATCTTCACAGAATTAATTTCACCATGCCAAGATTTGCTTTCAAATCAATCAAAGCAAAAAGGTTGAGAAAAATGTTTTCACTATTTCTGGTAGGGAATGTTTAAAGGAAACCTCTCATAACTTTAATTTTTGTTTCTGCTCACTTGAAAGATTGTAATTATGACTTTTGTACAGCAAAAATGTCATAAAGTTGTAACTTGAGGCTAACTGCTGTTGCCATAGTTACTGAAATTTACTTGTGACATGCTCAGAATGATGCAAACAAGACACACAGCCCTCTAGCTCTGTTACCTGTCATTCCAAGAATTCTTTTTTTGTAAATTATGATCTCTGATATTAATACATCTTTGAAACTGAATTCAAAAATATTCAGTGCAATTGTCCAAGCTGTCACGAGGTGAAACATTAACATCATTAACAAAAAAACAAATTGTTAACAGGGTCTGCAAGACAAACAACCATATATTCACTAAAATATTCACTAAAAGAGCTACTTTCTGGTATTTCCAAACTGAATACTCCATGTATTTCATAAGGTAATGCAGGGCTTAGCTTTGCAGAGATGAAATTTTGCAATACGTGTCTGTGGCTCAATACTGTTGTAAGGGGATATTCCCCAAACTAACTGAGAAATCAATAGCTCTTGTAATGCAGAAAATAACAAGAGACAGAAAAATAGTTATTGTAAGATGTTTGGATAAACTGTTTAACATTAACTGCATTTCACTTTAATGAAATAAACCGTTAACATGGAATCTGGAACCACTATTAACTTTTTTGTGATGTACAATGTTTGCTATTACGTAAATGAGCACAGCAAATGGGATAACTTCTTAAACAGGAAATAATCCTAAGCCAATTCATATTAAGTATTAGAAAGAAAAATATCACAAAATTTCAGACTACAGTGCGCAAATAAAAGATACGCTAGCATGATCAGGACTACACCATGTATTATGTACACAAAAAAGATTCAACTAACAAATGTAAAAATTCAAACTGGCAGAACAAATGGCTTCATTCTTGACGTCTTCATGTTCTGGTTTTCTCACTCAGATTTTGTTTAGAATCCCTGGTTAAATCCAGACCCTCCAGAACCCCCAGAGTAGAAAGAACTGGAGCTCCCACCTCCCTGGTTCCCTGCAAACAAAATAATCTCATTGGTTCATATAATTCATTCCTAAGAATAGGCCTTGAATTTAGTAATACTTTGGGCAAAGCCACTTTGGCCTTGAATTACGTAAAATTATAGAGGAAAACCATGGCCAGTGGGTAGGGAACAAAGGCCAAATAATATCTGCAGTTGAGGAGTGAATGCTGAATGCAAAAAGTAATAAATATCTGAATCCCTGTAGTACATCTGCACTGGGTGAGGGTCTTACCAGAAAAGCAAATCAAATTTGTTGCATTGCTTGCCTGACTTTTCCGGTTTGGGCCGCCAGCTATAATCTCTCCTGCATGGCAGTTTTGATTTTCTGCTTTTTGTTGTCACCTCGGAATGCTGGAGTAAATGGGTTATTCATCTTAAAATTGTGACAATCCGAAAAATCATGCATGCTTTTCTTGAATTCCTCGAATATGTACCCAAACATCAGTGGGTAATCTCACCACACGTGCAAGTGCTGAGAAAGAGAAAGTCGATTAGCTTTGCATGTCTGATCTGCTGTGCATTCACCAACTAGACAGTGGGTGAACAAATACAGACATTCATATTTCTGGCGAAAGCATCGCTGCTTGAAGTATCGACACATTCCGAAAGAACGTGAAGTGCGGGCAGTGATGTACATGTACATATGTACATGTAAGTTGTGGATTAGTACCATGCATTGGGATCGTGAAGCTAGATTCAGGTTGTGTTCATGTCATTTATTTGGCCACGTATGTGTGACTGATTCAGAGACATTTAGGACAACCCATTGGGCTCACATGACATCGAAATACAGTGCCAAATTGTTAAGTCAACTTAAATGGATTGTATTGGCTTTAATGGGCTTGTAAAAAGGGCACGACTGCCAAGGTAAATATTAGGCAAAAGAAAACTGGCCATGAAGAGGACGATTATTTTGTGGGGCACGTCTGCCAGTAAGAAGAGCAACGATAGTCACTGGCTGTCATGGTCATCATTCAGTTCAAGCCCTGATCTTACTGACAAACAAGGGTAATAAATTGATTTGTATGTATATTACCTTCCATGCTCCTTTGTCAGCCCAAAGCAGGCATGACATTGCAGGTGCTATGATCCATTCCACAGGGATACTCTCTAAGCACATTCCGTTTTTAGCAGTTTACAAAGGAAATATGCCCCCCCCAAATGATTTACTGGACCAGTCACATTTAGGGGTACAAAGAAGAGCTACCTCAATTTCAGAAACGCGGATGAATTCTCACCCTGGAATCCTGTCCCTCCCTGGCTCTCAAAGCTTGTATATCCACTTCCAGATCTCATACCACTTGACTGGTTACCAAAGCCATTACCTTGGTTACCAAATCCACCACCTTGACTTCCGACCTGTGAACTTCCACCTCCGTAACTGCCACCTCCACTTCCTGTGCAAGAATGAGTACATTCACCGCACGATGATAGAAATTAATGACAGAACACGAGTACATGCATGTATTCTAAATCCAAAGAACTCAAACATTTTCTTTTACCATTTAAAGTTTGACTTCAGAGTGTTTAGTAAAACAATTTTCTATCGCTTAATATTCTGTGAGCAATCAACGTGCCTCCCATTCCAGACTGCATCCTTGGCATATCACCATAGCCACCATCTCCATCTTCCCCATCTTCTTCCGAGTTCAAGAAGAGCTCAATGTAACGGTGCATCATATGTTCCTTGTCCTTCCCCATAGCTGCTACAGCATCTCTGTGACGGATGAAGTCAACATCTGCCTCCCCCGACGGTTGACCTTTGCTGTTATATTTGATAACAACTCGGCAGGGAACAGCTGACTTGCCAAACCACTGAACACAATTGGCAAAGAGTTTTATCAGAATACAGAATGTGGTTTAAATTCACAGAACTGTAAGCAGTGTGACTTAATACTTAGGAACTCCTCACTCAGACTAAAGTGTCTGTTTCCAATCTTGCAATCTGCTACAAAGTCCATCCTGCTTTCTATTTGGATTCTTGTAATTTTGGAGGGTGACAATGTATTTGGGCTTTGGAACTGAGGTGTTTACAGCAAATACGAATGTTCTTACCTCCAATCTGCTACAAAGTCCATCCTGCTTTCTATTTGGATTCTTGTAATTTTGGAGGGTGACAATGTATTTGGGCTTTGGAACTGAGGTGTTTACAGCAAATACGAATGTTCTTACCTCCATAATATGCTCCTCTGTAGCACTGAAGGGTAATCCTCTCATATGAATAGAATGACCTGTTTGACTCTGGAAGACTGGTCCCATGCTATCACCTCCTGGTCCACCTAACCCTCCTCCGCTACCACCGTAGCCAAATCCACCACCACCACCACCACCACCACCACCTCCTCTGCCAAAGCCACCTATAACAAACAATCCAATTTGTTTATTGTTTCTTCATGTATTTTCCTGCTTAACAAATGGAACTGCCTTGTAACTACTAACTGAAGAGTGAGAAATCAGAACACATGCCTGGTCAAGAATTTCTTACCTACCTAGATATCGTCATCATCAGATGGTGGCATTTCATTTTGAAATTCCTATCTGAAATGAGGCTATCATGCCTATCGTGCCTTTGCCACGGATGACTTTATCAGACTGGGGTAAGCCTTCACCTACTTACTAAGATTACTCAGATTAACTCTGTTACCCTTACACACATACATCTCAACTCTCACCATGGTTTCTTCCACTCACCTCTCATTCCCATGCCTCTCATTCCCCTCCCCCGTCGATTCATCATCCCGCCTATTCCAAAACTGCTACCACCGCTGCCACCACCAAATCCATAGTTGTCCACGCCGTAGAAGTTATCCTCATATCCACCCCCAAAACCTGCCAAAGTAATGAATTGCAGACCCACACTTAGCAGAGTTTGAGGTTGGCATTTTGAAGAGTCATAATCATGTAACTTGTGTAATTCTGCTGTCGACTTTTCACTTTATATCCTTGAGCAGGGTTTGCTTCAACTCAAACAGTCAAGTGCTACACAAAGAGGTCTCTACTCTCTAGCCTATCTGGCAAAATTAATTTTCTAGAGAATTTTCTGGACTTTTTAAAGCTGGCTTACAACTCCTAAATGGCTTACCATCAAATCTGTAGCGTCGTTCAAAACCTGAACTGGATGGCCCCCTACCTCTGCCACCAAACATAGCCCCACCTCCATAGCGATCATAGGGACCAGGTCTCTGGAAGGCACGAGCAAACTTGTTGGCATTCACAACTCGACGAATTTCATCCATACTACTATGGAAGATTTCCACATATCTAGGGACATAACCGGGAAAGTGATATGTTCATTCATGGATCATATACACTGCAATTTACCCTTCCTGACGATTAGATAATTTTGGGTGAAGTGTCTGCCCCCAAAAAATGAAGGATGGGGGTTTGAATCCACCAGAGGCCCATCTGGCTCACTTTCAAGTCAGGAAGGGCACTTTAATACATATCTAAAAACTGTTCACATAGTAAGTGTAAAAATGCCTTAAATGTAAACATAAAAGGGAAAGTACATGTAGGTCTGAATAATTTTCCCTAAGAAAATCCTAAGTGTGGAAGACCAGATGCAATCATACGTAGCAAAAATGTTATATCATTTCTCAATACCATGACACAAACCAACAGGCAACTAGAAATGTTTTATTTTGTCTAAGAAACAAAAAATATGTGGACAAGAAGTCAATGATTTTTCATCTGTTGATTAAATGAACGAATTGATCATTTGGAAGTTTCAGTAATTTATCTGCTACTCCAAAGAACTATATTTCTTCACTGCAGGAACAGCACTTTGTGACACTGAAACTAAAAAATCGTACATTAAATACAGAAAAGTTAGTCCCTTAAAAGACAAAAACCAAACAAATTGCCACAAATTAGGCTGCAGCAACAATGAAACTGCAAAAACTCAAATGTATGTGCATGTAAAATACCCTGGAATGACACTTTGTTTTAGGAAACCGGAACACTTTGGAAATAACTGAATTTACAAGTAAATAATTCATTTCTTGTTACTGCCTTTTCCACCCTGGAACCAGTTGGCAAACTTGCATGTATATTTTATGTGAGTGATTGACAAGAGCACATAGGTTTTCGGTATATGGTGCCTTGTGGAGACCCAGGAGAATGGGTTGAATAGGTCTCCGCAAGGAATTTCTAAAGGTGTACACATGTAGGTCTTCACAAGGATTTCATGAAACTGATATTTGGAAATCGCTCAAAAGGGAGAATTTTTTAATACCTAAGAATCAGTTGCAAAGTGTTTCATATGAGGGACTTTCGGTCCAAACTTGTGCCCAGGAGAGTGATTCATATTGAAATGGGAGCATTTCGAAACCTCATTTCACACGCGACTGTGTTAGTACTGGAGAACAAAGCCATGTCTCCACAAGGATAGGAATTTTGGAATTTCATTGCTAGGGTGTGTGTTGATAATGTCGATAGGGTGTGTGTTGATGTCATTGCGATTGTGTGTGTTGATATAAAACCATGTTTACATCTACGTAAGTATATAACATCTACGTAAGTATGTAACTAAACCGATTAAACGTATGAATACTATTATTTGAAACTGAGATAAAAAACAAAGAAAAAAAAATAAATGACAGTCAAAACTAGACAACGAAAGACAGACAATACAAAAGAGACACACAATACACAGAAGAGGGAGAACCAAACACATTCTTATAGTAATTACATCACTTCCTGGTATATGTTTAAGTCAAATGATGACTTGAATGCAAATGTGCCGATTATGAAATTCAAAGATAATTTGCATAATAATCATGTGCATGTGCATTACAAGTATATTTCCATGAAGCAGGAAGTAGTTGTGTAAGCTATTTTTGGGACACAACCCTTCCATCCAAATCATGCTGTCAGCATATTATCTTTCTCTTTGATGATGGTTTCAAGTCACCCCTGAAGGCAGAAAGTACCAAACAGACAAAATATTCAAAGTAAAAGAGGTAACTCACACAGCTTTTGATCAAACACATCTAGTAGGGCAGTAAGTTGAAACCTTTAAACAATACATTTCTTCCGTTTTTCTTATGAAGAAATTCCTATTAGAAACATTTCCTAATTCATCGTAATAGGACAGGATATATACATGCACATGGGACAGGAAATATGTCCAGATAGTGTTTACTTTGTATATATTTTTGTTAAATGTCTATTTTAGGCTCTGACATTGGAACTGTTTCATCATATTTTTTCAGGTTGTACATCTGCTTTTTGTACACTATTTCAAACAGATACCAGGAACTGACATACTTCTACAGAAGCCAACAAAACCAGTAGCAGGAAACCGGAAGACCAACCATGTGACCTTAAAATAAACCGCAAGAAAAGTACTGATTTTTCAAATCATTTAAAATTGGGTCAAAATTGAACTTGAAAAGAGCTAATACAGAGACCCAAGAGAGCTATGTAAGCACACACAATAGTGAATACATTATAACGGTAGCTACCCCACCGCTATTCCAATCCCCACCTGTGCCCCAGTTTATGCATATGTTTTTGCAAAGCCTTCTCTGCCAGCTCCTTTGATGCAAATTGCACAAAGGCATCCCCGGTACACTTCCCCTCCTGGTCTGTAGGCAGTGTTATCCCATTCGCCACAATCTCCAACCCTGTAGGGAGCCACCATGTACCCCCGTCGCCCGATACCACCCGGATGACACACCCCGGCCAGCAAGTAGATACCCATGTTGGGGGGGCAAACCACCCAGCCAATCACCCAGTCCATAAGGTACCCATACGGGAAAGGAGACAAAAATAAGAGGAAAAAGATAGGAGGCAATTGGTCAATACTTTGACAACCTGTAGGATGAAAGGCATTCACATTAAATCAAAACCCCAGACATGAACTTATTTTGCATAAAATCCACACTGTTCATCATCAAATAATGTCATGAAATTATTAAACGTCATGATGACTTCATCAAAATGCAAAATATTTAAACACTCTGCTTTGCCGAGTTTGATCACATTTGTGTCATAGCTTTTGTATGAGCGATGAACCGTGGTGGAAGATACAGAACATAAATGGACATCAAGGGGAGTGTGTGTTTGCTATGCACCAATGCCACTGGGGAGTATTCAGACAAATTCTACTATTCGAAGTGCACTGTCAGTCAATGCACAATTAATGCTTTGAATGTGGCAATGAGGATACGGACACCAGCAACTATTTCATAGGATGTGACTACATGTACACACAAAGTCTTATCAAAACCAAAATGCAGAGCTACAACAGTTTAGATCAAGGTGAAGCCAAGAAGCTTATGAACTGACTTTACTGAAAAGGTGCTCATGTGACGGGAGTGTAAATCTCTAATTAACATAATCTTTTATAAGAGATCAACCCATTTCAGAAAATTATGAAGTGATGCACATCAGGGTTTTCTTCCCCATCCAAAATCTGTGATTTCTGAAAACTGATGCAACAGGAACTCCTGATATGTCCATTATGTTTTGAGTGTCAAAGACTACATGTGTCCTTCTTTTGGCAAGTTCAGGTCACTTTCAGCATTGCTAAAACAATGCAGGGAGAATCCCAGACCAAAAGAAGGCCACAAGATCTGAGCAGTGAACAGGAGAAGGTGGCATACATACAATGGTTGAGTTGTCAAAGTGTTTAATAATAGTCGACTCTCGTTATTACGAAATGGGCTACAACAAAATGCTGGTTATAACAAACACAAGCCAGTGGTCCCGGCAAAAACATGCACATTTCTATAGAGAAAAAAAATCTGTTACAGTGAAATCGAATTGTACGAAATTTCTGTTGCAACGAATGGTTTTCGCGACTCCGTTGCGTGAAAAACCATTGTTGACGACCCATCTATAACGAACCTTTGCGAATCTCGGTGGTGAAAACACGTACACAGTGCATCACACTGGTTCCCGCTGGGCCAAACCAATGCCAAAGAAGGCATGAGGGAAATGCGGCAACCAGTCCAAGTACAGTTCCTGCCAAAAAGGGTCGCGAACGTTCCACTACATGTACATGTACATTGTATACGAATGCAGCAGTTGCAAGTCGGAAAAACACTGGCGTCACAAATTTTTCAGTAGTTTCATTCACAAAAATTTATCTCATGTCTATGTTTGTGTTTTCTGTGTTAACCCTCCTATGCCAAAGTCACCATGTGTTTACGTGTATGACCATACATGTATACACGTGCATGCATGTACATGGCATTGTACAACAATGCACCAAAGCCATTGCACTGCATTCTGCCTACAACAAATTTCGGATACAACGAACGTTTCTACGTGGTCCCGGGGAGTTCGTTATAACGAGAGTCGACTGAACATGTTTATACTGCCTCCCTTATGCAATTTCCAAGAGTTTGTAACAGTGACTATGACCCTGTTTTCCAAAATGTAAACTGATCCATTCTGTTGAAAAGAAGTCCATGAATGCTTACTAACAAAAATTTTCTGTCATGTCTGCATATAATACATTATCATCAGCCTCTAAAGCTGCAACAGCCAAGTACCTGGCTATTATGATTGTACTCTGAAATCCAAACCAGGCTTGGAATTCTAGCCTTGACAATAATGCTTAACATAGTCATAACTTCTCTGCTATGGTCATCACAGATTTTCTTTTTAGCAATCTATTCTGTTATGGGTGCCACATAACAGAAAGATTTTGAGTCTTTTTGACACTGAAAACATGAGGAAGAGGTTAAGGCCTTCAAGACATCCCTAAGTACTTCAATTTGTAATTTGTTCTGTCTTCATGAAGATTTCAGCATGACTATGGGTGAAATAACAAATCACTTCTGTAACCAGAAGTTACCAACATACCATTAAAGAACTGCATGACTTCTTCCTTAGAGCACTCATAGGGGATGCCTCTCATACGAATACAGGCATCATTATCCTGAAAGGAGGCTGCACCACTTCGCTTCATCACCCATTCCCTCTCCTCGACCTTAGATCGGAACACTGTGAAATCCCACAGGAAAAGAGTTCAAATTCAATTGTGAAACACTATTGCAAAACTAAATGGGAAACTTCTTAATACTGTTGCTTATAAAACAAAGTGAACTATTTGAGATATTCAAAAATGAACGATCATAAAATGGGCAGTTTTGACAAATCAGTATTATTGACTTAAACTCTGTGCATTCATTAACCACTTCGTGCCGGGCATTTTTCAACGTTGATGATGCTGGGGCGGCATGACTATCATTTTTTCTGTTTTCAAAATCCTTCAACAATTCATCATTCCATTTAACAGTCG